CTTAGAATCCTGAGCCAACCTACCCATGAATACAGCATGCCTCTCCATTCGTTTCTATCTGTATACCTACAAAGTAAACTTAACAAAGCATAGTTGATAGGTAAACTATTTAATTGTACTTATGTTGATGTCTCACCCTTCTTATTTATTTGTAGGTATTTTATTTTGCCGCAGGAGGGTCTCTCATGGCTTCCCTTCCCTCCCCCAGCTCTACCTCTAGAGACTGCACATTCTCTAGGAAGGCCCCACAGGAAGGAGGAAGGCAATGGCTATTTGGCCTCTACCATTGGGAGCTCAGGTGAGACATCATTGTCTGACATCTTTTATTCCCATGATGTGAATGGCCTTCATTACGAAGACAGATGTATTGGAGTATTAGAGCCTTGAGCCCCTTCAGCGTCCTTCACCTCTGTGCTGCTCATCTGACACTGGAGTTCCCAATGGTACTCAAAGGCTGGAGAAGGAGCCAAGTCCCAGGAGAGATGGATTGGTGTTTATAGGGCTTATAGGCAACCGGGAGTCAGAAAAGCCTAGGATAGGGCCAAGGGTGTGGTGAGGAGGGAGTCTGCCGTCTCAAGGCCTGGGGAAGGATGCCTCAGAGGATTTGTTGTAGTGAAGGTCCAAGTTTCCACCTGGAGTCTTGCCAGTTAAGTCACATCACTCCCTGTGTTGCTGACAGAAGTCACAGCCATTGAGTGTCTGCCATACACGTGGCATGGTTAAGTCCCATGGCACTGGCCTCTGTTTAGCTGTGGTGAAGACTGCATAGTGGATGGTATCACAGTGTCAGGAATGCAGGTGAGAGGATGATATCATGTAGGAAGGGCCAGCAGCAACTTCCCAGTAGGCCCCACCGTGTGTGTGTGTGTGTGTGTGTGTGTGTGTGTGTGTGTGTACGCTGCTGTACATGCCCATGCTTATGTTTGCAAAGGCCAGACGACACAGGTGTCTTCCTCTATCATGTAAACATTTCTATGTTTAGGCAAGGTCTCTCACTGAACCAGAAGCTTACCATTTAAGCTGTGTCAACCGTCAGAAAACTACGAGGATCTGCCATCTGTACTATCAGTGTTAGGATTACAGGCATACTGCCCTTATGTGAGTCCTCAGGGTCTGAACTCGGCTCTGCTTGTTCGCATCACTCAGCCTTAGCCACTGCTCCATCTCCCCAGCCCACCCACAACCTCTTAAACATTGTCACTTGGAGACCAGGCTTCTGACATTTGAGCCTTTGGGGTCAAACCACTTCAGGAGCCAAACCGTAGCACTCCCATGGACCTTCTTTTCCTGTCTTGTTTCCTGAGATGGTCAGTGTTAATTGTCACCGTGCCAGAATCTGGAATCCCCTGGGAGATGGGTTTTGGGGCATGCCATCTTGATTGGGTTGAGGCAAAAAGACTTTCCCATAGTGGACAGCACCATCCCCTGTCTGGGACCCTGGACTGTATACATGGTTGGGGGAGCCTGAGCCTCAGCATGCATCCCTCTCTACTTCTCAATGTGGATATCATGTGACCAGCTGAGCTCTGCCATGCTTTCATCTCTTCTCTGCTTCCTGAATGTGGATGTCATGTGGCCAACTGCTTCTTGCTCCTGCTACCTTGACTTGTAGGGTGATGGTTTGCATCCTTGAACTGTGAGCCAAAGTGAACTTTTCTCTTTTAAGTTGCTTTTGTCAGAGTATTTTACCATAGACAGAAACTGCAGCACTTCCCAGTCCACTCCCTGTGTTACTTTTTCTGGCTCTCACGTCTGCACCTATTTTGTTTTCGTCAGAATGTAGTATGTTTTCCTCACACAAACCGATGCCATGTTTCTTCCGGTACTGCTTTTTTCAAGGCTTATTGGCAAAAATCCCCTGTTAAGGAGGAATCTGTGGTTTCAGGAGTCAGTGACATTCAAGGATGTGTCTGTGGACTTCTCTTGGGCGGAGTGGATGCAGCTGGATTCTGCGCAGAGGAAGCTGTATGGCGGCCTGGTGCTGGAGAACTGCAGGAACCTGGTCTCCCTGGGTGAGAACACCCCCCCACACACACCCTTGCAACTCGACCTTTCCTCTTTAGCCATCCACCATATGGAATTCATGGGTTCGACTTGAAACCCCAGCTCCCGTGGGGCATTGTTTAGGATAGTGCCTTAGTGTCCCATCTTTCTAGGTGAAAAGTCTGTAGAGAATGGGAAAAATGGAAATGGAGGAAGTCAGAACTGTTCAGGCTGGGTGTTGACTAAGTTCAGGACCCAAACTCAGTTTCTTTCCTCCCAAGCAGGACATGAACTTTCCGAACCAGATGTGATCTCCGGGCCGGAACAAGGACTGAGCCTGAGAAAAAGAGAGCTCCCAGGTCGCATCTTTCTGGGTAAGTGTCAGGAAGCAGAGACTTGTGATGTAACATGGGGGTCTTGCTAAGAGGATGTGTGAGAGGGATCTTGGGGTCTCTGGAGGGACCCGCTCCCACAGGTGTGTACTGTATGGGGACAGTGCCACCGTGCTGTTGAGACTTGTCCTCTGTTGCCATATCTTATGTCCTGGTCTGGGGGGTGGGTGCATCGTGAGGCTTGAGTGACTACACCTGTAGCATTCGTGCATTGCCTGGAACCACTGTGCATTTGGAAATGTTTGCAACGACCATTTCCTCTCGGTCTTCATCTATGTTCAGTTACATCTGTCACAACTGAGACATCTCCTTTTACTGCCTTTGTTCCAGGCCTAACCGAATTCCTAGCTTCCTTCCTTCCTTCCTTCCTTGTTTATGTAAACATTTGAGAGCTTTCTTTTCTGGCTGCCTAAATAGGCATTTTGAATAGTTTGCATACTTTTAAAAGTGAGAAATGACTGTAGTTTTGTTTGCATTTCTAGCAGCTTTGCATCTTACATATTCCATTTATCACTCCAAAATACCCCATCTGTGTGCTCCCTCCATTCATTCCCTGCCATGCAGCTCTTAGTGCTTAATGCTTGGTCAGTCCTGTCACAGCCGCACGGTCTCTTTGGGACGTTATCACTGACTTTTCTCTGCAGAAAACACTGTTTACATCTTTTTCCATAATTCCAACCCCATTGTTTTAAAATGTACTTTTTTTTTAAGCTAAAAAGTGAGCAGGGGACCTAGAGATGGCTTAAATGGTGATGTGCTTTAAGCATGAGAACCTGAGTTCAACCCCCAGTGCCCACATAGAAACCAGACCTACAGATTACAGACTGCACCCACCTGTAATCAAGCACTAAGGTGGCAGAGACAGGCAGATCTCTGGAGCTCACTGGCCAGCAGTCTAGCCAAGTTGTTGAGCTCTAGGTTTAGTGAGAGACCCTGTCAGAAAAGAAGGTAGAGAGTAATAGCGACACCTGTCTTCTCAAAACAAAAGAATGTGTTACTATATTAATGGTGATGTTTTACCAGTGGAAGTATCATGTGATTTCTTGGAAAATGCCCTCAGGAGTAGATGCTGGGTGCCCAGGGGTAGCATGTCACACCAGTGAGCTAAGAAGTGATCTAGCCAGTATGGATATATATCACAGAGAAACAGAATAAATGTGGCCCAAGTATCTGCAGTCAGGGAATCTGGGTGAGGGTCATATGTAGTCATTGTTCTCTCATTTCTGTGAATTCAGACTTTCAAAATTAATAAAAGTACCAGGGAAGCTGAGGAGAGACTGGCTGTTATCTGACTCCCACACATGCCCCATCCTCCCTCCGGGAACCCCCTGCAGACTTACAGGCGCCTGTAATCTGACAGTTTGTCAAGGCAAGAGGAAATCAGTTGCTCTGAGTCTTGGCACGCTAGTTACCCTGAATGCACTTTCTGAAGAAAAAGGAGCTTTTATAACTTTAATAGGCACAGATAAAAGGACGTTATCAACAAACACATTCAGTGAATACCTTGGCTGGGGTTGTACATAAGTGGTTAAGACAAAGCAGGAAGGTTCTGGCTCCTGGGCTGTGTTGGTATTTCACAGTGTTCTTGGTGGGGTGATCCAGGCAGAGGTTTCTTGAGGCATTGGATGGAAATGTTTTTTGTGGTGCTAGAGATCAAGCTCCACCTCCCACCCGTAAGCAAGGGCTTCATCACTGAGCTTCATCCCCAGCCTCGTGCTTTTGGTAATGATTTCCTACCCCACTCCTTTGTCTTCTTTCAGACTTTCCATCGGGAAGGATCCAAAAGCTTCTTCACATATTTATGATTGGAATGCACACACTATTTACTTTTCTTCCTGGGTGTCTGCCTGCCTGCTGGCATGTAGGCTCACTGAACTGTCATTACTGTGCTGACATTTCATTATATGCCTACCCAACAAATGCTTGATAATATTTGTTGAGTATTGAATAATATTGGATGATATTAGTAGAACTTTTAAAGTCAGGTACAAATGTGGGGATGAGAATTGTAACCATATCTGTAGAATTCTTACCAATGGAAATTGGAGAGTTGTCAGGATAGAACCAAATGTCAAAGATGCTCTCACACAGGTTACAGATGCATGCCCGGGGTTGAGGAGGGAGCTGGCTCAAGGAAAAAAGAAAAGCAGAAAGAATACAGCAGTATTGATAAGAAAGGATAAATGCCTATGATTTTATCCTTCCTTACTTTATAAACTGAGTGATCAAGAAGCCCCTGTGACCCAGAGCTAAGGGCGTGTGCTGCGCTCTGGGAGAATGCAGAAGCAAGTACAGCCTGACATTTCATCAGGGTTAGACGGAGGGGAAGAAAGAAGAGAAGAGCACCTCCACCGTGTTCTTCATGGGACTGGATCTGTACGATCCTATAGAGGAGAAACTGGGGAGCTAGGAAGTGGAGAACAGGGTGGAGCCCAGGGAACAATGTTGCGTTGTGTAGACATTGCTCTTTCCAGATTTTCTTGCGTATCACTGTCAGTGGTTACATGGTGTCTTATTAGCAGGTAGATGTCTGACTGCACAGAGGTGTGTTTTGATTTTCTGTACATGTGTAGTGATGGCCGTGTTCAGTTCTCAAGTCACATGGGTCTTTCCTCACCTTTGCAGGCCTGGCGCATTGTCTTTTGGCATCCTGTGTCCCTGAGAGGATCTCCTAGGCCAGTTGTTAAAAGTTTGTAGGTAATCTTTTTGTTTTTCTTTTTCTTAAGAATTAAGACCTGAGAATTTGCATTTAAGTTAGGCATCTAAATTCAATAAGGAATATATTTAAACTTATCAAGTTTTGTATAGTATTAAAATAATTTGAGTTTAAGACTGTTAGCATTTTGCAGAATAGCAAATACTTTGTTCTTTTTCTCAATTGATTTTTGGAGTATATATAAACAGAAGGATTTATAAAGTATATATACTATTTTACAAAATGCCTATTCTATTAAACCTTTAATAAATTAATGCTTAACTCTTTTTCTTACATAAATAGTACATGTACCATCTAACAGATGAGGAGATTGGAACATAGAAGGGTTAAGAAACCTGCACAAGGTCACACAGCTAATAGTGATTGAAATTGGGGCTTGGAGAAATGGCTCAGAGGTTAAAAGCACTGACTACTCTTCCAGAGGTCTTGAGTTCAATTCCCAGCAGCCACATGGTGGCTCACAACCATCTGTAATGAGTTCTGGTGCCTTCTAGCATGCAGGCACACATATAGGCAGAATACTGTATACATAATAAATAAATTAAACTTAAAAAAAAGTGGTTGACTCGAGTACATCTGTAATAATTAAAACCCAAACGGATGTAGTCGAGTTGACAACCAAGATTAGCCATCACAAGGCCATCCCTTGTAATCCTGACACACAATCACATCTCCTTATGTCATGCTAATTTCCAAATGAAAGCAATAACCAGGTCATAATTCCACCTAACATGATATAACTATTCCATGTACAACTGTAAATGGACTATAGGTGGCAATGTCCCCTGAGGAATGGTTAGTCTTTTAGTGTCTCATAACTTAAATGCAGTAACCATTAATATTATCTTAGTTGATATTACATGATTAAAAAATAGGAATACAAATATCACTTAATGTGTGTGTGTATATATATATAATATATATATATTATATATATATGCACAAACTCATTCCTTTGTTTGTTTGCTTTTGTGTTTTTACATCCCAACACAAATTTGTTCTTAACACAATAAGACAGAAACACTTATGCCAGTTGGAATTTTTTTCTCTGTCACGTGGCCTTAGATGGTATTTATAGCTCTTTTCCTCTACTACCCATTCTGTGTTTCTTCTGTCCCCAGCAAGTACCTCAGAAGGTCTTGGTTATTTTCTTGGAGGAGTGACCCACACTTTCATTCCCGAGAGTCTGGACCCTTTGTCATCCTGCCTGGATTGAGCTGTTGTAGTTTCCCATTGACTTCATATGACCATGGTAGCACCAAGAGTCACCCTAAAGGATCTGCTACATTCCAGACATAATCTTCTTTACATCCATTGTGGAGAAACCATCCAATTTCTCCCTGGTGATCTGGATCAATCACTCCTCCTAACATTTATTCCTTTTTTAGACTGTTGGCCCAAAGTGGCCAGGGAGGAAACTGAACTTCCAGTTCAATAGAATATTTGTTGTCTCTCCTAGCAGGAGTGCTGCTCCATCTGGAACCAAAACCTCTAGGCCAGCAGAACTTGAGGTCATGGGAACAGGAAGCAAAAGGGGGGGCACTAGGATTGATAGAGAGTGGAATTATTCCCATTTCCATCCCCTTGATTCCTGGACCTGTGGAACCTAGCTGTGGGCGAAACTATACCACGTATTGGATGCTGATTCAATGCATATGTCATCTTCTGGAAAACCTTGTCCTAGTCATCCAGACTGCTGCCGCTTAATTGGCGCTCTAAGTGTATCTTCAAAAGGCTGTTTCATCATTCTCTAAGGCCAGCCGCTTCAGGACGATGGAGAACATAAGATCAGCGGATTTCCTGAGCGTGGGCCCACTGTTGCTCCTCTCTGGCTGTGAAATGAGTCCCTTGGTTAGAAGCAATGCTATATGGAATAACATGGCAGTGAAGAAGTGTTCTGTCAGTCTACAGATGATAGCTTTGGCAGAAGCAGTCCATGCAGGAAAGGCAAACCCATAATCAGAATAAGTTATCTATTCCAGTATCGGGTGTTCTATATTGCATGAGACATTCAATAGAATGTCATTTTAGGCTCTCTGGCAGCAGGGAGGGACAGTTTCTGGGAACCGAACCTCGAACCTCCATTCAGAAGCATATTTATTGATTGTACACAAAGGTTGTGTTTGGAGTACAGCAAGTTCCTCATACCAAAGCCCCTTCAATCTATTCTATATGTTCTCTGAAGGAAACCGTCACAGCCCGCAACCTTGGTCCTTATTATGTAGTGTTTGCAGTCCCCAATAATGCAAGACCTCCAAGTGAGCCTCAATAGTCCTGTGACTAAAGCCATGCAATGGATGGAGAAGTCTTTCAGAAAACTCTGTAAATCATAGAAAACTATCACTGTTCTCTGCTATTATTTTTCCAAGGTCTAGGTACCTCCAGCAAATACTAATACATTGTGTTGTTACCATTGATACAGTGAAAAAAGAACTATTACATTCTAATGTTTATCCTAGATACAATGACTCTACTAGATCCCCACTACAGGTAAGGACAAAGTGTTGCCCTTTGCATGAAGAAAGTAGCCTTATGTCCTAAAGTTGACAACCACATTAGCTATCGCAGCTGTCTCTCCTGGCTCTTCTTTACAGTGCTGCCCTCTGTCTGTGCTAATGGAATCACCCTCCCCTCACTTTTTGTGGATTCTGAGTAGCAATTCAAATATTCTCAAAGAATGTGAATTAGATAACTGGATGTGACCAGAGTGACCTAGGGCAAGAGACAGCTGCTAGGGACATGTATTTTGCTAGTAATTCCAGCTTAACTTACAATTTTTCTTTTTGTTAAAGCAGGTCAGCTTGGAAGGAGAAGCTCTGTTACATTTCTTGCTTCAAAGCCTTTAGTTTACTTACCCACTGTTGATCTCCGCTCTGTTGACTTTGGTCAGCCTTCCTAAAACTGACTCTCAGACTGCAGTGTCCTAGCCTCTCTCCTCACTGTGGCTCAGGCTGCAGTGTCCTAGCCTCTCTCCTCACTGTGGCTCAGGCTGCAGTGTCCTAGCCTCTCTCCTCACTGTGGCTCCTGGTCCTTTCTTCTGTGCAGTTACCTCTAGCAGCTCAGCTGACTCTCTTCATCTTGCTCTGCTCGTCACAGTTCTCAGCTTCGCAGAGAAAATGTAGGACTGTGGAAGGCACTTTAGGCCTGTTACACCTGTGAGTGGAACATTTCTTAAAGGTTAAGGAGAAAACCTTTAAGACAGCAGCCTCCTCTAAGAGTGTTCTGATCTTTGTGTTGCAGATGACGGTACTCCCCAGGGGTAGTTTACATATAGTTAGGGTCTTATTCCTTATCAGCTTATTTTATCCTCTTTTAAATCTGTGAAAGCTCAAATCCAAAGAAACCTTATGAGCCATGTTTATCTCAGTCTTGTTAGCTCCCATCAGAATGAGTTAAGCTCGGATTCCAGCCTTCAGAGACTTTTCTAGCCCAAAGTACCAAACTCTTCCACATTCTAGTCACAGATGGGTCCAAAAGCATAAGAATGACATGGTCAGGTTTACACACTAGAGGCCCCACTTCTGAGTACCAATTTCTGCTTTAGTTTTTTTCTGTTGCTGTCATAAAATACTCTGACAAAAGCAACTTAAGGGAGAAAGTATTTATTTAACTCCTAGTTCACGTTAAAGTCCATTCGTGGTGAAGAAGTCACAGTGGAAGGCGACTGAAGGAGCTATGTCTCTACAGTCAGAAGAGAACAGCGAATGCATGCAGGCTAGTGGGCAGCTTGTATCTGTCCCTCTTATGCAGGATCCCCTGCCCAAGAGAAGGCCCATATGAGCCTTCTCACATCAGTTAATGTAATCAGAATGGTCCTCCACCATTCAGCTCAATCTAGATAATCCTCACTGAGATTCCCTTCCCAGGGGTCTCTGGATTCTGTCAGTGTGGAAATTAGCACATTGTTCTGGTCTGCTTTCCCTAGCCTGTCTCTTCTGTGTATTTTCCTTAGTTCTGCATTCACTGTTTATCCATCCCTCCTGGATGAGCTCACCCCTTCTCTCTGTTTATCCAGCTAGTTGTATTAGTTCTTCTGTTTTCTGTGGACTAGTATACTATTCTTCACCTTTTGATTTCACTAAAGACTTGTAGAAATATTATCAAAATCTCTTAAAGGTCTGAAGTTATTCTACCTTTACTCTCTTATTCCCCTTTATGTAGTTTCTAGTCACTCAGCACAGAAATCAATATGCATTTGAATTATTTACTTTTTTTCAGGCTGGGAAACAAGACTTGAAACCAAAGAGTTAACTCCAAAGTCCAGCATTATTGAAAATTTGCCCTATGGGGCAATAATGGAAAAGGAAGATTTCTGGCATTCAGCTTTAGGGTCTGTCTGGGACTCCTCTTGTTGGCTAGAGAGGCAACAGGAAAGATATCTGGGCCAAGTGGCAGTGACCCAAAAGGAAACCTTTAATGAGAAGAGGGTATGTGATGGTAATAAAACTGAAAAATGTTCCATTGAGGGTTCAATGCTTAATACACCGCAAAGCATTCCTTTGACAAAAAGGCCTCACAATTGGAATTCACGTGGAAAAGATTCCAAGCAATCTTCCGAGTTAATGAAATCTCCAAGAATGTTTATAGGGAAGAAAATATATGAATGTGATGCCTGCAGGAAAACCTTCAGCCAGAGTTCCTCCCTGCTTAAGCACCAGAGGATTCACACTGGGGAGAAACCCTATAAATGCAATGTGTGTGGCAAGCACTTCATTGAACGCTCCTCCCTCACCGTCCATCAAAGGACTCACACAGGAGAAAAACCCTACAGATGTAATGAGTGTGGGAAAGCCTTCAGTCAGAGCATGAACCTCACTGTGCATCAAAGAACTCATACTGGAGAGAAACCTTATCAGTGCAAAGAGTGTGGAAAAGCTTTTCGTAAGAATTCATCCCTTGTCCAACATGAAAGGATTCATACCGGGGAGAAGCCCTACAAATGTAGCGATTGTGGGAAAGCTTTTACACAAAGCATGAATCTGACAGTGCATCAGAGAACTCACACCGGGGAAAAACCCTATGAATGTAAGGAATGTGGGAAAGCCTTCAGTCAGAGCATGCATCTCATTGTCCACCAGAGAAGCCACACCGGGGAAAAGCCCTACGAGTGCAGCGAATGTGGAAAGGCCTTTAGTAAAAGCTCGACGCTCACTCTGCACCAGCGAAATCACACTGGAGAAAAGCCCTACAAATGTAACAAATGCGGTAAATCATTTAGTCAAAGCACATACCTTATAGAACATCAGAGACTTCACTCTGGAATGAAACCTTTCGAATGTAACCAGTGTGGCAAAGCTTTTAGTAAGAATTCTTCTCTTACTCAGCACCGGAGAATTCACACTGGTGAGAAGCCTTATGAGTGCATGGTGTGTGGAAAGCATTTCACGGGGAGATCATCCCTGACTGTCCATCAGGTGATACACACTGGAGAGAAACCTTACGAGTGCACTGAATGCGGGAAGGCCTTCAGCCAAAGCGCCTACCTTATTGAACATCAAAGAATCCATACTGGTGAAAAACCCTATGAATGTGACCAGTGTGGGAAAGCTTTCATTAAGAATTCATCCCTCATAGTGCATCAGAGGATCCACACAGGAGAGAAGCCCTATCAGTGTAATGAATGTGGGAAGGCCTTCAGTAGGAGTACAAACCTTACAAGACATCAGAGGACTCATACATGAGAGTTGTCATTGGCACCCTCATCTTGAGTAATTCTTTAATAATAATCATGTCATATCAATGTAGATGCTTAATAACCATAACTAATGTGGGAACCTTTTAGTTGAAGTACAGCATAGCATATCAGATAATAAGACCATAGCAGAGTAACCATATGAAAGCTATGAACACTTTCATTCAGATGGTACAGTCTTGTTTGTATCTAATACACAAATGCTGAAGACTTTGGCTGAAGATAAGCTCTATTGTGTCATACTGGGAATTCTGATTTGGGTCTCACAGAGTTTTCACACTGGATAGAAAATGTGGTAGTACTTAACTGGATAGCCCAAAAATCTGGTATGTAGTTATAACCCCCCCATTAACTTAAACAAGTCACCCACTTTCATCCGGTCACAGTGTCCTTATGTGGTAAATGAGAGAGTTGGAATTTAGAAGGCCTGTGGGATCTGTATTAGATAAAATGTCCAAAAGCAAGATTCAGGTAAGTATTTGTGGTTAGCTTTTTTGTTGTTACTGTTTTTTGTTTTTGTTGTTGTTGTTTGGTTGGGTGGGGTTTTTTGTTTTTTGTTTTTTGTTTTTTTTTGCTGTCACATGTGCTGTGGAGATGCTTTTATTTCTTATGGTGGTTTTCTGGAATGTTCCTCTACCTCTAACTCCTATTGTCCTTTAAGTTCTTCCCTTTCCCTGAATTGATTTATCTCCTAAAATGTAGACTAGTTGCTATTGGGTGGCAGATAAACTGCATATTTTAATGATTTTAATGCCATAGCATGCTGGTTTGAATTCTCAACTAATAGTCATTAAACTGTTGTTGAATAAGCTGATTGTATTTATATGAAAATGTGACTTAAATATAATCTTTAAATTCTTAAGTATCAATGTATGTCTTTGTGTCTTACTAGACTGTCATGGAAATTCAAAGACGTGGGTTGAATACTAATTTGCTGGACAGTTTTATGTCAGTTTAACATAAACTGAAGTCATCTAAGGAGGGAACCTTAATTAATTCTTCCATAAAATCGGGCTGTAGACAAGCTTGTAGGACATTTCCTAATTAGTGATTGATGGGGCAGGACCTAACCATTATGGGTGGTACCATCCCTGGGATGATGGTCTTGGGTTCTGTAAGAAACCAGGCTGAGCAAGCCACCAGGCAGTACTTCTCCATGGCCTCTGCATTACCTCCTGCCTCCAGGTTCCTGCCCTGTTTGATTTTTCTGTCCTGACTTTCTTCAATAATGAACAGTGATATGGAAATGTAAACCAAATAAAGTCTTTCCTCTCCAAGTTGCTTTGGTCATAGTGTTTCATCACAGCAATAGAAACCCTAAGGTGCTAATAGACATAGGAATTCAGCACATTAATAAAACCTTTGCAACTCAAAACATACTTAGAACCACCACAGGAGTAGTTTATAGATCATGATAGTAGTTGTTTTATTAAATGCATATTGACTGAGTCTTAAATATGAGATAGTTATTTTGAGGGGTCACTGCAAGCTTTCTGGGTGGCAGAAAAATTGTTCATGAAGAGACACGAATGAAACTCCATTCATCTCCCTTCAACACCAGTGCTGGGCCCAAACTTCTGAGTCTGACACCAGTTCATTTATTTTAGCCGTATTTAAGTGCAGCATGATTTTGGAGGGGAAAAAAAAGGTTTTCTAATAGTAATTAACTCAGTCCTGTGAGTACAACAAAGCTTAAGACATGCTTACATAGAAGCGTGTAACGAAGTCCATAGGGCTTCTTCCATAAAGATGGGGCCTGTTGACTCAAACAGTGCTCAAGCAAAAGGTCTGTGGAGAATGACTAAGATGGAGTGCCTGTGAGGGTCGGGATGTGGCCTGGCTTCTAAGACATAGAAGTCACTTAGGTTGTACAAATGACATCATTCATACGGATTAGTTTTATGGCCTAGAAATAATGCTCAAGGTTTGGGGATAAACCAACATCATATTTTGGGGAATATAGGTGGAGCCTGGCTCAAGAGGTTCCAAAGGATTACTCAATTGTAAACTACATTTTCCTCCCAGCATTCCAGGACAGCCAAATAGTTCCTCCCTTTGGAGAGAGAAACTGTATTCTTGGCTTCTCTAGTACTTAACTGTATGCACAAGGACCTTTTGCCCCTACAAGATATGATCAGAAAACCAAAATTAATGTTAGCATTTTTTAAGTCTCCAGAGGCTAAGAATTTGGCAATGTGGTAAAAGAATAAAGAATCAAAACCATTATAAGACAAATCCGGGGGAGAGAGGGGAATGGCAGTTAGTTAAATATGGCTCTTTGAACAAGAGTCTAGAGTGATTTGAATTTCCTGTTTGGGCAAATTGGATTTCATAATTACAAACATATAAAGTACATCAGTTTTGTGGGATAGTGATGGTCTCAGTTCCCCCTAACAATCTCCAACATCTAACTGTTAAAGGGGCTTTCATCTGGTTCTTGAACCTGAAGAAAGGTACCCTAGCAATTGATGACTCCTTAAGACATAGTTGAAGTAGTACACTTGCCTGTGTTTACACTAATTGGCATGTCTCAGTCTGTCCCCACAAACCACAGACTTGGTTTTGTCCCCCAGGCTGCAAGCTGGAAGAATGATGGGAGTGCAACACTTCCTACTCATACTTAGGTCGGCTTCATGAGTTCCAGAATGAAGAACTGGTCCCTCTGCCAAGTAACTCCTAGCTCAGGGTGTCCATGGGAATGAGCCAGCTGATGCAAAGCAACAAAAATAATGGAAAGATGGCTCTGAGAACCCAGTACATTTAGTGTGGAGGCCCAAAATTATGAATCTATTTATTTCCACATTGACCAAAGGTCAAAGAGTTGGGACTTACAAGGTTATTGTGCTTCTACCTCAAACAAAGGTCCCACCTAGACATAGTTCAGAGAGTTTTGCTCTCCCAAGGTTATTGTCAACAGGTGTGACTAATAACCAGACCCTGTACTCCAAGAAGAGGGAAGTAGATTGTTCTTACCTCAAACAGGAGTCTGAGGATCCAGCTAAGTTCCAGTTCCCTTTATGGAGATAACTTGGGATTCCACAGTGAGAAAGAAACCAGAACAGCAACAACCCCCTCCTCTCCCCTTAGGAATTTATTAGAGGGGGTGTGTATAGGCCTGGAGAATCTGTGTGCTGGGGGGGGGGGCACTGTCCAGCTTTTTTTTAATTATTATTAAAAAAAATTCCACCTCCTCCCATTTCCTTCCCACTCCCCTCACTCCCCCTCCCCCTCCCTCTCCAGTCCTAAGAGAAGTTAGGGTTCCCTGCCCTGTGGGAAGTCCAAAGTCCCCCTCCATCCAGGTCTAGGAAGGTGAGCATCCAAACAGACTAGGCTCCCACAAAGCCAGTCCACCCAGTGCCATTGTCCTTGACTTCTCAGTCGGCCCTCATTGTCAGCCACATTCAGAGAGTCCTGTTTGATCACATACTTGTTCAGACCTAGTTCAGCTGGCCTTGGTGAGCTCCCATTAGATCAGTCACAAGTCTCAGTGGGTGGACGCACCCCTCACGGTCCTGACTTCCTTGCTCATGTTCTCCCTCCATCTGCTCCTCATTTAGACCTTGGGAGCTCAGTCCAGTGCTCCAATGTGGGTCTCTGTCTCTATCTCCATCCATCGCCGGATGAAGATTCTATGATGATATGCAAGATATTCAACAGTGTGGCTATAGGATAAGGCCAGTTCAGGCACCCTCTCCTCTGCTGCCCAAGGCACAAGCTGGGAACATCTCCTTGGGCACCTGGGAACCCCTCTAGAGTCAAGTCTCTTGCCAACCCTAAAATGGCTCCCTTAATTAAGATATCTACTTCCCTGCTCCCATATCCATCCTTCCTCTATCTCAACCATCCCATTCCCCCAAGCTCTCCCCAACCTCCCCTTCTCCCTTCTTTCTCCCTATCTCCCCTTTCCCCCACCCCCGTGCTCCCAACAATTTTGCCTGGCTATCTTGTCTACTTCCAATATCCAGGAGGATAACTATATGTTTTTCTTTGGGTTCACCTTCTTATTTAGCTTCTCTAGGATCATGAATTATAGGCTCAATGACCTTTATTTATGGCTAGAATTCACTTATGAGTGAGTACATACTATATTCATCTTTTTGGGTCTGGGTTATCTCACTCAGTGAAGTGTTTTCTATTTCCATTCATTTGCATGCAAAATTCAAGATGTCATTGTTTTTTACCGCTGAGTAAAACTCTTGGGGACCCAGCAATTCCACTCTTGGGAATATACCCAAGAGATGCCCAATCATACTACAAAAGCATTTGTTCAACTATGTTCATAGCAGCACTATTTGTAATAGCCAGAACCTGGAAACAACCTACGTGCCCCTCAACAGAAGAATGGATAAAGAAGGTGTGGCACACGTCCAGCTTTTTAAAAGCTACCTAGCACATGTGCACAGGGGGTTGGCATGACTAGGTCATATGCAGATGACACAGATGATGGGCTCATGCAAGGACTTAGCTGAGTCATAGTGGATATAACCATGCATTCACTCATGGGCTTAGCTCAGTCATGGTGCATGTAGCCACACATGTGCACACATGGGTCATGCTGGGCCCTTTAACATTCAGGCACTTCTGCCTGAGGGCTTGTCTGCATGTGCATGGCTCTAGAACCCAGAAGTATCAGCCTTATGTGGCTGAAATCCTTACAGGTTTGCCTACAGAATGTTTTGGTCTAGGGCATGAGTGTGACTTAGTGACTTGTTTCGTTTTAGCAACAAAATGTTTAACTATGAATGTAGCCCATAACTTTCAATTGTTATGTTCATTTCCTTGACTGCATGTTAATGCAGTCATTTGTCTTACTCCTACCTTTTGGGATTAGGGATATTTTAAGCAGTTGGAAATTAAAGGCGGTGAATTTTCAGTATTTACTGAAAAATTCCCTCTCAATACTATCCTATATATTTCTGTTTTATTATTTTCATTCACATCTTCATATTCTTTACTATATTTCTAAATCCCCACGCCTCTACAAAGGTATTTTTGTCGAGGCTGGCCCCTGGCAGTCTAAGAAATTCTGAGAGGTTGGTGATTTGAGTGTATAGCAGTCAAAGTGACAGGAGATGAAGCTAAAGGAAGATGTTGGACCCTACTACAACAAAGATCTTGTTACTGGGTTCTGCAAACCAATGCTAGGAATGAGGAAGAAGTAGCCATTCTCTTGAAGAAGTCAAATTGGTCCTACATAAGTATGCATTTGGATATCCTTAATTCACAGTGGGAGCAGGCAGGGGAACAGTTTCAGTTTCTTTCAACCCCTTTCATTCTTAGACTGGATTCAAATGACAAAAAGTTCATGTGAGAAACAGGGGTTGCCCAGGTGAAAGCTGGAAACAGTAAGTAAAGCTAGTAAGGGAGTCCTAGCTAGAGCCAGGTGGTTCGTGGATTTTATGCCAAAGGTGTCAGTACACTGTGTTTGTAGTTGTTTTAATTGTTGAGAGGGTCTCATCCAGACTGAACTTTGAACTCATTGTGTTGCCAAGGAAGACCTTTAACTTCTGGTCCTTCAGCCTCTACTTCCTGAGTGAATTACAAGTATATTGCCACCACACCCAGTTTACACAGTGCTGGGTATCAAATGCTGTTATTCATGGAAGCACTCTACCAACTACATTCTAGCCCTATTTAGAGGTATACACACACACACACACACACACACACACGGAGGAAACCCAAAAGGTATTCATTCCCTAATGACTTTCACTAGCCCCAGCAGATAAATCAGATAAATAGAAATTTCACTACTTTTATCACAAGTTTTGTTAGACATGTCTCTTCTAAGCTGGCCTGGGCAGGACAGTGTGGTTGCCTTTGCACCTCTCTTCATCAACAGGAATGACATCCTGTTTCCACCTACATC